AAAAAAAAATTACATGCTTTTTCATTAACCGTATTTTAGAAAAGAATTTGGAATCATCACAAGTTATTACATTTACAACATATTTATAATCTTGTCCGATCTTAGGTATCAAATATGCATTTATGCAGAGGTACAACATTGAACGACAGTACAACAAACAAATCGCAATTAAAACAGACCACCTTTAGGAGTATGTGATTGTAACATCTTTTATTAATGGTAATCTATTAAATCCACTTTGATAATTTCCCAACAGAGTTGATTAAATATGTTGAAAATCCATCAGGCCCTGCGGCGCTTTTCCTACTCGTTGTAAATACAATTTCCCTTACTTCCTATACAGAGTTTGGCTTCAAAATTCTGTTATCATCTGCATTTGAAATCAGCTCAGGGATACTACCGAAAAATTAGAATTGTTTTCCATCCGGTCAGCACTTAGGATCTCCTGAAAATCTTCTACAGGAGGCCTCTGATTTTCTTTTGATCATACAAAACAAGAACTTAGTGTTTTTATTCTCTTTTTTTTAACCACTTTATGGAAGAACTTAGTGTTTTTATTCCCCTACATACCCATTTGCCTCTGGCCTTCCTCTCTTGGTATTAACAGATTCAAATCAGCATATGCTTTATAGGTTGTAACTCTACCTGTTGGGAATTTACGTATCATGTACAGCGGAAATAAAAACCATTTTCAATTCCCACTAGGATTCATAATAATTGTGATAAAAGTTATATCTTTTTAGATCTACGAACTCATTTGCTTAATCTTTGTTACAGCACTTGGATCTGCCTCTCATAGCTGTTCAATTGTCCAGCCTCCAATGAATTCCGTACAGAGAACAGATTGCAGCCACCAGGATTTTCTCCTCTTGTGCTAGAAAGAATTATGAGAAAATCTCTACGATTGAAAACCCTAGACATGTATTTATATAAGCTCAAATGGGTTTGGCCCGACCCGATCCAATATTTAATTAATCCATTTAGTTGAATTCGGTCCGTGAATTAATTAATCTAATTTAATTAATTCGGCCCTATAAATAACCAACCCAATTAATTAATTTATCCAACAATTGTTAAATTAATTAATTGACAAAATACAATCTTCCAATTCTCTTTTGTATGCAGCCCATCAGGTTCCCAATCAAAATACCTAACGATGTGAAATACTATTTTGATCTAATCAAAGTTGATAAATTAAAACACCCTTTTAATTTATCACCATTCACATCCGCCATCTCAGATTGACATCAATATGTTAGGGCAACACATGTGGCGGGAAATGTCACGTGCTACGACAAAATCAAACTTGTTCGTTTACCATGAAATTATAATCCATTCGTTAATATGATCCGATCAATTACGAGATATGAAAGTATGTCAATCTCGATTATCGATCATATCTTTCATTCTACTATTAAGTTAATATGAGTCAAAGACTTCTTTTCGACTTATGAGTATACCTTGGTCAACGATTTCGTTATTGACTTAATTGAACGAAATGCAGATCACAATATCTTACTATCTAATAGTGACGAATCTCTATTGGTCATTTACAACTTTCATATGATTCTNACTTTATAACGAAAGAAAAAGAGAAAAATGAAAAAGAAAATGGAAGAAACACCTGATCATCCCCAACTAATTCCGTGGCATAGCACATTTGTATAAAAGAAATCAATAATTATATACTCAACAACTTCAACACGAATCATGCAACTACTCCATGTTTATAACTGATCCATAAACCATATTAGGCTCTGTATATAAATCTCATTTCTTGAACTCAGATCATAATAGTATAATATCAAGAAAACAGTAATCAAAGTGTTTTCTCATATACAAGCATTCAAAATGTTCAAGAAATCATTAGAAAACATTCTTTTCGCTATCCTATTTGCAGCCATGAATATGTGTATAATTGTGGCTGCAGTTGATCCAGCAGCAGCAGCAGGAGAGCCAGTTCTCGAGTTGTACATGCACGACATTCTAGGTGGCAGCAACCCAACTGCGCGGCCAATCACTGGCTTGTTAGGCAACATCTACAGTGGCCAAGTGCCCTTCGCAAGGCCTCTCGGGTTCACACCCCCAGAAAATGGTGTAGCCATACCAAATGCCAACGGCGCTATCCCGACTGTAAATGCCAATGGCGTACCATTAGGGACTGGCTTAGCGGGTACAGCTTTTGCCGGTATCCCCGGTGGCTCAAACAACAATGGTAATTTCGAATTGCTAAAAACTTAAGCTATTAGAGATGTGATAAATATCACATTGGACCAACTCATCTAAGAAGTTAAACTATTAGAAATTTGATTAATTTATTCATTTAAATTTTATTTTCGACAGGTAACACAATTAACACTCAGATAGGCCCTGATGGCTTGGGTCTTGGCTTTGGCACGATTACTGTCATTGATGATTTCTTGACCTCCGCACCTGAGTTGGGGTCGCAGCAACTCGGGAAAGCCCAGGGGGTTTATGTCGCAAGCTCTGCTGATGGATCAACTCAGATGATGGCATTTACAGCTGTGATGGAAGGAGGGGAATATGGTGACAGCCTTAACTTTTTTGGAGTGTACAAGATTGGGAGTACCATGTCTCGCTTGTCCGTGACAGGAGGTACCGGAAAATTTAAGAATGCATCTGGATTTGCAGAGTTGCGATCGCTCATTCCAGCAGGTCAACATGTTCTTGATGGTGTTGAGGCATTGCTAAGGCTCACAGTTCATCTTACTTACTGAAGAGTACATAATGTTCAAATCAAACAAGGAAAAAATTGTGGGTTTGTTTGTATGAGAATTCGTGAGTTGATTTATAATTTCTGTGGATCAATGTGGCGAATGCAAAGAAAAAAAAA